AGCCTTAGGCACTCAAGAGTGAGTTGCAACAGAACTCTGAGGGCAATAATAGTGTTTCCATGACCCTTATTTGGACAGCTTAGAAATTTTCAAACCACAGGGAAGCAGCCCCTGGAAGTCTCGTAACTGATTTTCTCATCTCCTAAAATCTTACTTTACTTGGGAAATTGAAAACAGACATACCCTCCCATCCATTCCAAAGTTATGAGCCCAAGCTGGGGGCATCAGCTCTGGGGAGACCAGAACTATTAAGCCTCGTAATGTTGGTAAGATACTATGCCTTCTAGTCTCATTAAGAAATGTGTGACTTATTCATGCTCATGGATACACACAAGGGAAAAAATGGCACAGCTGTTTAACTAAATGGAGAAAAAAACCCACAGCATTCAATAAGTCTGATAAAACTTAAAAATAAATCCATTAAATTAGCAAAAACCATTAATGACGCATTCACATTAAACTAACGGAACATGCCACTCATAAAATGTAATATTCTTCACTTCTTTTTAATTTCCTGCAATAAAGCTTTGGCACTACCACTTAAAACACCACCACCCTCTATTTGTTTAAATACAGAAGTGCTTTTTGGTTGACTACTTTCAAACATTTCTAATGCTACTTTATTATTGAGACCTACTGACAGGCTGGGTGCAGTGACTCAGGCCTGTAATCCCAACATGCTGGGAGGCTGAGGCGGGTGGATTGCCTGAGCTCACAGGTTCAAGACCAGACTGAGCAAAAGTGAGACCCCATCTTTAAAAATAGGTGGCCATTGTGGCAGGCGCCTGGAGTCCCAGCTACTTGGGAGGCTGAGACAAGAGAATCGCTTAAGCCCAAGAGTTTGAGGTTGCTGTGAGCTGTGATGCCATGGCACTCTACCAAGAGCAACAAATTGAGACTCTGTCTCAAAAAAAGAAAAAAAAGACCCACTGAGAGTGATTTACATACACAGATGAAATAAAAAGCTTAGTAAAGCCTCAAGAACATAAGGACACAAGATCAAATGTGAAGTGGCAGAAATTCACATGAAATCTCCTTGGATTTTTCATATAAATGCTAATTTATTCAGTTAGTCAACATATTCTTGAGCAGCAAATATGGGCAGAAAAGTCAACAAAATTCTCAGCAACACATGCCATTCGTTTAACAGTAATTATCATATGTCTCCTTATACCAGGAGCTCAGTGCAAACAACATCAACAGTACACAAAAGTGTCTCCAGCTCTTATGAAGTTTATATGCCAGTGAAGTGGAACAATCACATAAAGAAACAAATGGCAGGGCGGAGCCTGTGGCTCAGTGAGTAGGACGCTGGCCCCATATACCAAAGGTGGTGGGTTCAAACCCGGCCCCAGCCAAACTGCAACAAAAAAATAGCTGGGCACTGTGGTGGGCACCTGTGGTCCTAGTTACTCAGGAGGCTGAGGCAAGACAATCACCTAAGCCCAAGAGCTGGAGGTTGCTATGAGCTGTGACACCACAGTACTCTACTGAAGGTGATGGAGTGAGACTCTGTCTCTAGAAAAAAAAGAAACAAAAAGAAAAGTGACCAAAATCATTTTTTTCCCACTACAGTCTCACTCTCTCCTGTCATCTAACATAGTTACTAAGTCTTAGATGTCATTTAGTGTTGAGTTTCACATGCACCCTTCTGTTTTATTTTCAAATTCTAATTAATGACATGAGCACTTACCCAAGTTCTAACCTAGGAATCATCTTTATAAGAAATAAAGATGGCTAGGTGCAGGGGCTCACCTATAATCCCAGCACTCTGGGAGGGTGAGGCGGGAGGATCCCCTGAGCAAGAACAAGACCCCATCTCTACTAAAAATAGAAAACTTAGCCAGAATTCATGGCAAGCACCTATAGTTAGTTCCTGCTACTCTGGAGGCTGAAGCAGAAAGATTACTTGAACCCGGGAGTCCGAGGTTGCTGTGAGCTAGGCTGATGCCACAACATGTTAGCCTGGGCAACGGAGTCTCAAAAAGAAAAAAGAAAAAAGAAATGAAAATAAGGCAAAATTAACTAGCAAGAGAGAAGATAAAGCATTTATCAAGTTCCTATTTGCATACCTGGCATGATGCTGGTATAGAAGCTAAGTATTACTATCTCCATATTATAAATAGAGGAAATTTTAAAGTTTCTCAAATATACCCATTCGTTTCCAATTTAACAGTTGAGAATTTTATCACCACACAATCACAGTACTGCTAGCTGCCTCTACTCCAAATCTGTTCTGTATAAAACGCTGCCAGAACAATCACACCAAAATTCCATTTATGTCACATTAATTCCCTGTTGAGGGCAATGAAATGCCTTATGCTTCTCTATTTGCCCACTGACTGGCCTACTGCTCAATAAATATTTGTTGCTTGAAACCATCCCACACTTCCCCACCAGCGTAGTAGCAAGCTCTAGAAGCAATCGTTTTTAAGACAAAGGTGTTGAATATACAGAATGCATGTGAAAAACTCAAAGGCAACTTAATCATCTTCAAAATAAAGTAGAATCTCTCTACATATTTCACAATTCTGATTCCACCCAAACCACCCCTCTTTTCTTCAGGGAAAAATTAGGATGCCTAGTTTCTAACCCCAACTCCTCCACTTCTGGCTATTTAACCTCTCTATACTACAATCTTCTCCTCTATGAAAGTTCAATTTGGCCTCTGCTCAAGTTCTTCCACTATTCAAGCCAAGGCCATTCAGTAAAGGTCAGATGAAGGCCCAGATCCCTTGCAAACTCTTAATGCATGACGTTAGCCCATCCCTCCACTTACTTGATTTAGAGTAGCTCTGCAGCAAAAAGAGACCCAGTCATTGTAACTTTTACCTGTAATCATCTGTTACCTTGCCTCATTCAATTATTCCACATGTGTATGCCCCACCTTCACTAAAGTCCCACAGGTAAATGACAGTGACACTACTCACTGCCTCAGGTGGTTATCAGCAGCACAGTATTAATATCAACAATTATTACTACCACCATTAACTGAATACATAATAAGTATGCCATAATAAGTATCTTATGTATTTTTCTGTCTTTAGTTTCTTAATCCTTTTAGATAAATCTCTTTATCCCCATTTCATAGTTGAGAAAGGATCTTACCCAAAGCTACAAAACTAGTGGGTGAAGAGTGAGAGTGGGCAATTCAAACTCAGCTCTGACTACTTCCAAGGCCCATTCTTAGCATGTAAAATAATTGAATGAGGCAAGGTAATAGATGATTATAGGTTACTGTTTAGTAATGACTTTGGTCATTTAACATCTAGGTGTCAAATCTTCTCTCCTAAATGCAAGCTGTTAACAGTAACAAAAAGTGTATTTTGAAAAGAGAAAACAAACTGTATTTTGGGGGTCATTTCCAGAATAACCCATGCCTAATAAGTCACCTATATTCAAGCCTTTACATAAACTCATTTAATTATCCCAACAACTCCATGAGACAGGAGTAATTATTACTGCTAATTTACAAATGAGGACACAAAGAAGTTAAATAACTTGCCCCAAATCACAAGGCTAACTGGTAAGTGCTGAATTCGGGGGTGAAGTGGTAACTGTGATAAACTGTTTCATTAATTCACTCATTCTCAACAATTATTAAGGACTCATCTAGGGGCTGAAGATAGAGTAGTGAATAAACCAGAAAACAACCCTGCTTTCATGGAGTTTCCAATCTTCTTTCCTTCCCAGTATTTTCACTTGAGGAGACAATCCTAAATGCTTTTAAAAACCCTAAGATTTGGCTCGGCGCCTGTGGCTCAAGTGGCTAAGGTGCCAGCCACATACACCTAAGGTGGCGGGTTCGAATCTAGCTGGGCCGCCAAACAACAATGACTGCTGCAACCAAAAAATGGCCAGGCGTTGTGTTGGGCACCTGTGGTCCCAGCTACTTGGGAGGCAGAGGCAGGAGACTTGCTTGAGCCCAGGAGTTGGAGGTTGCTATGAGCTGTGATGCCATGGCACTCTACCCAGGGGACAGCTTGAGACTCTGTCTCAAAAAAAAAAAAAAAGAAGCCCAATAAATAACTCTTCTTTAAAAAAAAAAAAAAAACCCTAAGATTTCCATGCAAAAATGTCAACTCTGGATAATAAAAATTAGTATCTAAGAAAGAGTATGGGATTGAAACAAGCAAACCTAGGTTAAATCCCCAACTTTGCCATTTGGCAGTGTGACCCACTAGCAAATCCCTTCTTCCACTATCCATTCATAGCCTGTAAAAAGATTTTTAATGAAACAATGCCCTAAGTTGCCCACCTAGCACAAAGCAGACAGACGCTCCAGGAGTTTCCTCTCTCCTCTCCCCCTACAGTGACTTCATCATTTGTGTCGTCACCAAGCACATGTTAAAAGACTAGGCGGAGTTACTATAGGACTGAAAGAGACTAACTTCTCACTTTTCAGCGCGATTCTCATTCCCGTTCAGATCATCACTAAATCTCCAATTTTGGGCCCCAGGCTACTCTGATTCAGATAGATCAGGTGACAAAGTCGGGAATGACAGCAATTCACATCACCGACTGGCAGTGTCTATAAAATGCTCCCGATGACCTTCTTCAGAAGACACTTTTTTGTTTCAGCTGGGGAATAACGTGGCCTCCTGACCAGGCTCCACGCCCGGTGCCGGGAAATGTGGCACCAGGGAGGAGAATTCCGGGGCTTTGGCACGAGGCTGTGCCCTGATACTGCTGCTATCCACTCGAAGAGTTCTGCGATTCCACAGCCACCTGCCACCTGCCAAACCGACGACCCCATCCCCGGTACTGCAACCCACCAGTCCCACCCGGACGGCGGCCCAGGCTCCGGGTCCTGTGCCCACGCCCCCGCCCGCGTAACCTTCCCTCGGGGCCTCGCGGGCATGTCGCCCGGTCTGACGGCCGTAACAGGCCCGGCGGCCTGACCTCGCGTGGGGCTTCCCTTCTGCCCCCCACGTCGGTCAGCGGAGGCTGCTGCTGGGTGCTCGGTCCCGGGCCGCCTGCCAGGACGAGAAGCCCCTTACCTATCTTCACGACCGCATCCGCCAAGCACCGGTCCCACTTCTTGCCGAGCTCGGACTCCGACATGTTCCCCACCAGCCGCTCCAGCTTTCCTTTCCACCCGCCCCGGCGTTCTGACTCCTGGAAAGTCTCGCGAGAGCTGGACCCAGGTCCTAGGCCCAGAAAGTTGGCGCCGGAGCTCCAGATATCGCGAGATGATCTGACTGCTTCCGTCTCTTCCGGTTTTTTCAGTTGGTCGTCTAGGTGACGGGTTGCCCAGAGGCCGGAGGTGACCCTCGCCTTGGAGCTACGCCTAAGGGTTGTGAAGCTGACAATTTAATTTCCTGGGTGCCATCCAGAGCCCTGTCGAGAAGGCCTTTCCTCTGTACCAGCGCTCGACATTGGCCCTGGAAATCCCTCGGGTAAGAGGGCACAGCACTGATCTATTCATTCATTCACTTCCTCACCTTCACTTTTTCTACTCACTCATTCTCTCGTTTCTTGCAGAGAAATCCCCGCCCACACTACTAACACAGAACTGCTCTGGCAAAGGTCACCCGACAAATCTAACAGACGCTTTTTTGACCTCTGTACAGTATTGGACACAATTGTCTCTTTCTCCCCGGATCCTCTTGGCTCCTGTATTCATTTGACTCCGGGGACACCAAACTTTATTCTCCTCCTCTCTTCTCTTCTGGTTTCCTCAAAGGCTGCTTTTTCTGTGCTACCGGTTTAAAAGAGCGTTAGTTTGCAAGGTTCCATCATTCCTCTTCTCATTCTGCATACTCTCCCTGAATACTTGTAAGCACTGCAGATCAAATGTCTACCTCTGGTTTCCTAGTCATATACGGTACAACCTCTGTAGTTGACTACTTCTCTACAGTGACCACCTCCTTAAGTTGACCTAATTTTCATAGACTGGACATGCACCAAGTACATACCAGTCCAGTAGCCCTACTTCCTTATATTGACCAACTCCTGATGTTAAGCAGTTTCTTCCAGTCCCTTGGGTGGTCAGCTTACGGAGGTTCTACTATAGTACATACCTACACACATGCACAATAGCCCACACACATACACAGGGGGCCTTATCTACTGGTTCTGCTTGCAGGAATTCAACCAACTGCAGATCAGAAATTTTTTTTGAAAATTCAAAAAAAAAAAAGGGCAGTGCCTGTGGCTCAAGGAGTAGGGTGCCAGCCCCATATGCCAGGGGTGGTGGGTTCGAGCCCGGCCCTAGCCAAAACTGCAATAAATAAATAAATAAATAAAACAATACAGTACAACTATTTACATAGCATGTATTAGGTTTTCTAAGTAAACTAGAGATGATTTAAAGTATATATGAGCAGGCCAGGTGTGGTGGCTCAACCACTGTAATCCTAGCACTCTGGAGGCCGAGGTAGGAGAATCATTGGAGCTTTGGAGTTTGAGACCAGTCTGAGCCAGAGTGGACCTCATGTCTACTAAAAATAGAAAATATTAGCCAGACGTCATGGCTGTGCCTGTAGTCTCAGCTACTCGGAAGGCTGAGGCAAGAACATTACTTGAACCAGGAGTTTGAGGTTGCTGTGAGCCAGGCTGATGCTACAGCTAGTCTGGGCAACAGAATGAGACTATGTCTCAAGAAAAAATTTAAAACTAAAAAAAAAAATAAAGTATATGGGAGCATGTGTGTAGGTTATACATGTGTGCAAATCCTTTGCCATTTTACATAAAGAAATTGAGCAACCCAGATTTTTGTAATTGTGGAAAGTAGAATCAATCTCCCTCAGGTATCAGGAGGTGACTGTATATTCAGCCTCCTTGCTGGTGTCATTGATTTTAGTCTTTTCTGTTTCCATCCTCCATCCTACCAACAAATATAAATCTGACCATGTTATTCACCTGATTAGAAGCTGTCAGTGACTCCATGAATTTTTTTTTTTAGACAGTCTCACTCTGTCACCCTGGGTAGAGTGCTATGGCATCATAGTAGATCACAGCAACCTCAAACTCTTGGGCTCAAGCAGTCCTCTTGCCTCAGCCTCCGAAATAGCTGGGACTACAGGCGCCTAACACAATGCCCAGCTATTTTTTTAGAGACCAGGTCTGGCTTTTGCTCAGGCTGGTCTCAAACTCCTGAGCACAAGCAATCCACCTGCCTTGGCCTCCCAGAATGCTAGGATTACAGGTATGAGCCACCACATTCAGCCTCCATGACTCTAGGACACCTATTTTTTTTTTTTTTATGAGACAGTCTCAAGCTGTTATCCTGGGTAGAGTACCTCAGCATCACAGCTCACAGCAACCTCAAACTCTTGGGCTTAAGCGATTCTCTTGCTTCAGCCTCCCAAGTAGCTGGGACTATAGGCGCCCACCACAATCCCCGGCTATTTTCTTTTATTGTTGTTGCAGTTATTGTTGTCTTTTTGTCTGGCCCTGGCCAGGCTGTGTCTGTGTCAGGCAGCCTACCCACTGAGCTACAGGCGCCACCAGGACACCTACCGCTATAACCACCCTTCTCTGTGTTCTCATCTGATCTATTTGTCAGGTTGTGTTGTAATTATTTGCATGTCTCTTGGATTTGACTATGAGTATGAATGAATTGAGAATGGGGGCTATGCCATTTCTGTATCCTCAATGCTGAGTAGTTGGTATAAATAGTATGTACGGGGTTTTCAATAAATGCTCGATGAATGGTTATAAAATGAATGATTGAATTAATCATAAAGAGGGGGAAAGTCCCTGTTCTAGGGAAATGTACCATTTGTGTTGAAAAAGAAAAGGAAAATTAACCTCACTAAATGCCTACATATAATGTAGCATAAATAGCACCAAACACCTCACATAATTTCACTTATCCTCACAGCAGGTTAGCATCTTCATTTTCACAGGTTCTGAGACCAAGTCACAGCGATCTGTAATAAGTAATGTCGAAGATGCACAAAGCTCTGCGTTGTGTAAATTTAAAACTGACAGAGGCATTTTTATTAGATGTGTGAGCGTTATAAACTTTTGCCAAAGGTAGAGAGCAAATTACTTAAGCAATCAGAGGCAGATGGGGCAGCGTGAATCCTGGAGCCAGGCTGTCTGGGTGTAGGTCTCAGCTTTGGCACTTCTTAGCTTTATATCTGTTGTGCGTTTCTCCAACCATTCCTTCCCCACCATGTGCTTTAGGTTTGCTCACCGCTGTATCCCTAGCCCTAGAACATTATCTGACACATAGTATTTGCTTGATAAATATTTGTTAGTTGAATGAATACAATGAATGAAAACTCCAGAGTTTTTATCTTTCTCGGAGAACAAAAGTCAATGAAAGTGGTGAAAAAAATTTGTAAAACCCAGCCATACACTCAGTGTAAACTTAGTTACATTCAAAAATGACAAAAATAGGTATCTTAATGCTGGAGTTACAAACACAGAAGAGGAAAGCTTGAAAGAATTCCGGCTATGGCTGGGAACGGCGGCTCACGCCTGAAATCCCAGCCTTCAGGGAGGCCGAGGTGGGTGGATTGCTTGAGCTCATGAGTTTGAGACCATCCTGAGCAAAAGCGAGACCCCGTCTCTACTAAAATAGAAAAAAACTGAGGCAAGAGGATCACAGGAGCCCAAGAGTTGGAGGTTACTATGAGCTATGACACCACAGCACTCTACCCAGGGGCAACAGCTCAAGACTCTGTCTCAAAAAAAAAAAAAAAAAGAACTCTGTGCGGTTGGATTAGAATTGAAGGTGTCAGTTATGACCTCATGGTATTTATAATAATGTATTATAGATATAAAAATATAAGTGCACGTGCATGTGTGTGCACATTTTCTGATCTTATCTACTGAGACCTAAAAGCAGTGACACACCAATAGCAACAAGCAAGCCTAAATTGATCATGTCATCTTCTTTTTAGAGACAGGTCTCCCTCCTCTGTTTCCCTGGCTGGAGTGCAGTGGCATGATCCTAACTCACTGGAACCTCAAATTTCTGGGCTTAAGTGATCCTTCTGCCTCAGCCTCCCAAGGTGCTAGGATTACAGGTGTGAGCCATGTAAGAGGCCAGCCTAGCTGGTCTTGGCTTCTAAATACCATTCTCTGCTAAAAGGACCAAGGCTCTTTAGAAAAATGACTGAGACTCAGGGCTGGGGCAGGGAAACTACAATATGAGACTAGAATATCTTGTGTCACAAGGTAAGAAAGTCCTCAAAGGGTGAGGAAAGTGAAATGTGAAAATGTTTTCATAACTACAAACTGTCTGAAATAGTGCTTGGCTCCTAATTGGAAACCTGTAAGTATAATTATTCTCATCAGAAACTTGTGACAAGTTTCACAAAGATAGAAGTTTATATTGCATTTTGGGAGTTTTGTTGTTTTCTTTTTTTTTTTCCTAGAAGTTTGCATTTCAAATGGGTAAAGAAAGCCTCCTATAATAGCAAGAGAGGGCTCGGTGCCTGTAGCTCAAATGGCTGGAGTGCCAGCCACATACACCAGAGCTGGCAGGTTTGAACTTAGCCCCAGCCTGCCAAACAACAATGACAACTACAACGAAAAAATAGCCAGGCATTGCAGCAGGTGCCTGTGGTCCCAGCAACTTGGGAGGCTGAGGCAAGAGAATCACCTAAGCCCAAGAGTTTGAGGTTGGGCTCGGCGCCTATAGCTCAACCGGCTAAG